CATTGTAGTTAAGATTGACGTCTGCAATCAATAGATAGGCGGGGCTTCAGCTTGTATACATTATACTCTGCATTATACTTAACATCCACTAACATTTAAGTATGAGTATAATGTATACAGGCTGAAGCCCCACCTATCTATTGATTGCAGATGTCAATCTTAATTACAATGCTTGAGCAAACATTTATACAAATGAAGCAAGCAAGCCAACCAAACCTTTAAACAACAAGCATTAGGAAAATAACCCTAATTGTATTGCTGTTTTTCATAATCAAGTTCATAGACAAGTCCTTCAACAATTAGAAAATGTTTAAGCTTGAGAAGGTGTCAGAACTTCTCCAAACAAAGTGATGTATTTTGGCTAAGGTATTCAGTTAATTGTGTATATCCAATGAGAACTTCCAACTATTGTCTCTATGGTGGATTTTTTGGTAAATTATGTATAAAAATGTTGTGATTTCTGTAGATTCTGAATAATAATAACTTTCTTTTTATTTCCAAGTATACCAAGGATGGCAGAAAAACCAGCGGAAAGTGAAAGATTTGGAAGAAATATAGGCAAGTAGAATGTTTAATTGATTGGTTTTTTTTTGGAGCTTTTTTCCTACTGCTTGTAGTTTTAAGGTTTGGTTGGCTTGCTTGCTTTGCTTGTATAAATGTTTGCTCAAGCATTGTTGTTAAGATTGACGTCTGCAATCAATAGATAGGGGGAGCTTCAGCTTGTATACATTATACTCTGCATTATACTTAACATCCACTAACATTTAAGTATGAGTATAATGTATACAGGCTGAAGCCCCACCTATCTATTGATTGCAGATGTCAATCTTAATTACAATGCTTGAGCAAACATTTATACAAATGAAGCAAGCAAGCCAACCAAACCTTTAAACAACAAGCATTAGGAAAATAACCCTAATTGTATTGCTGTTTTTCATAATCAAGTTCATAGACAAGTCCTTCAACAATTAGAAAATGTTTAAGCTTGAGAAGGTGTCAGAACTTCTCCAAACAAAGTGATGTATTTTGGCTAAGGTATTCAGTTAATTGTGTATATCCAATGAGAACTTCCAACTATTGTCTCTATGGTGGATTTTTTGATAAATTATGTATAAAAATGTTGTGATTTCTGTAGATTCTGAATAATAATAACTTTCTTTTTATTTCCAAGTATACCAAGGATGGCAGAAAAACCAGCGGAAAGTGAAAGATTTGGAAGAAATATAGGCAAGTAGAATGTTTAATTGATTAGTTTTTTTTTTGGAGCTTTTTTCCTACTGCTTGTAGTTTTAAGGTTTGGTTGGCTTGCTTGCTTTGCTTGTATAAATGTTTGCTCAAGCATTGTAGTTAAGATTGACGTCTGCAATCAATAGATAGGCGGGGCTTCAGCTTGTATACATTATACTCTGCATTATACTTAACATCCACTAACATTTAAGTATGAGTATAATGTATACAGGCTGAAGCCCCACCTATCTATTGATTGCAGATGTCAATCTTAATTACAATGCTTGAGCAAACATTTACACAAATGAAGCAAGCAAGCCAACCAAACCTTTAAACAACAAGCATTAGGAAAATAACCCTAATTGTATTGCTGTTTTTTCATAATCAAGTTCATAGACAAGTCCTTCAACAATTAGAAAATGTTTAAGCTTGAGAAGGGGTCAGAACTTCTCCAAACAAAGTGATGTATTTTGGCTAAGGTATTCAGATAATTGTGTATATCCAATGAGAACTTCCAACTATTGTCTCTATGGTGGATTTTTTGGTAAATTATGTATAAAAATGTTGTGATTTCTGTAGATTCTGAATAATAATAACTTTCTTTTTATTTCCAAGTATACCAAGGATGGCAGAAAAACCAGCGGAAAGTGAAAGATTTGGAAGAAATATAGGCAAGTAGAATGTTTAATTGATTGTTTTTTTTTGGAGCTTTTTTCCTACTGCTTGTAGTTTTAAGGTTTGGTTGGCTTGCTTGCTTTGCTTGTATAAATGTTTGCTGAAGCATTGTAGTTAAGATTGACGTCTGCAATCAATAGATAGGCGGGGCTTCAGCTTGTATACATTATACTCTGCATTATACTTAACATCCACTAACATTTAAGTATGAGTATAATGTATACAGGCTGAAGCCCCACCTATCTATTGATTGCAGATGTCAATCTTAATTACAATGCTTGAGCAAACATTTATACAAATGAAGCAAGCAAGCCAACCAAACCTTTAAACAGCAAGCATTAGGATAATAGCCCTAATTGTTTTGCTGTTTTTCATAATCAAGTTCACAGACAAGTCCTTCAACAATTAGAAAATATTTAAGCTTGAGAAGGGGTCAGAACTTCTCCAAAACAAAGTGATGTATTTTGGCAAAGGTATGCAGTAAATTGTGTATATCCAATGAGAATTTCCAACTATTGTCTCTTGTCTGTTTGTCTGTCTGTCCAGCTTTGGATTAAAGTTTTTGGTCAAGGTAGTTTTTGATGAAGTTGAAGTCCAATCAACTTGAAACTTAGTACACATGTTTCTTATGATATGATATTTTTAATTTTAATGCCAAATTAGAGTTTTGACCCCAATTTCACAGTCCAGTGAACATAGAAAATGATAGTGCGAGTGGGGTATCTGTGTACTATGGACACATTCTTGTTCATCTTGAAATAATAGACATTATTTGGGGCCAAAAAGGGCCCTCATCAGCCAACTCCCTTTATACAACTGTCATGTGCAATTTAATTTATGAATTTTCATTGATGATTAAAGAATATTATTCAATTTCATTTGTTTATATGAGTTATAGTTTTGTCTTTTAACTATAAAAAATGAAAAACAACAAGCTATAAATTTCATGTGTCCAAAGTGCTTTTCTGGATTTACCTTCATCAGAAACACTCAATGGCAAATATTTGAAAGCCAAGGATGTGTCTGACCTTCCAACCCTTGGAACACCATGAAACATTCATATGATTAAAAGAATAAAAATAAAGAAATTTGAAGAAAAGGGGGGTTCAAACCCCCAAAACATCCCCTCGGGCCCCCAATGCTATACCATGAGTATTCAGTGCAATTTCATATCGAAATATAGTTTTCATAAATCACTGGGAGTTGGCCTGAAAGAAAGATTTTCTATTTAACTATGCTTTGAAATTGAAGAAATGGTTGAATTATTTTTTGTCTAGTCTTGTATATATATGAAAGATACATTTAGAAAGGGACTGTGGATAAATAAATTGATTTTAAATTTCGTACCATCACAGACATCTTACTTAATAAATGTATCATACAAAAGTCTATCATCGCAGTTACGGTATGGATGTGGAGTCCTTACAGGCTGACATTTTGGGCAAGGGGAGGTAATACCCCTGTTATACTCCTCATTATGGAAGTTCCTTCAGTGTTGGGCAATAACTAGACATTTTTTAATTATGTTTATTTTATGTGTATAAGTATTTATATATCAGATGTCTGCTAACAAGTCTATTACTATTGTATGGAGCGTTGTAAAAAAAAAACTGTAAGCAGAGATCTATATAACAGTTTTTTAAAGGGTGGAAAAAAATTGCGGGTTACAACTAAACTTTTGGTAAAATTTCATAATATAAGTTCTGTTTAAAAGCTCATCTGGTACTTAATACATCAAAGTATAATAAAATCGTCATGATTGGAAAAAAGAAAGTAATGTGAGAAAAATAAATATTTTTGTGACAAACTGTATATTATTAAATGTTGTGAATGAAGTAGACATTTCAGTTATTCAAATGGACTTTAGTGGAGTCAAATAGCATAAATGCCATTGAAAGCAGCCAGGATATAAGCTCCAAGGAAGATGGTTACATAGATCTTTAACCAAGTCTGAGGATTTACAATGAAAGAAATCAGGCAAGTTTATTTAAGCCATACATTATCTTTACATCCTGTCAATTTACATGTACATAAAAGTACACAAGACAATGTACAATATTATTCTTGTAATTATCTTTTTCATTTACAAAAGTTTGTTTTATCTTTGAGGGGAGACAAGTGCAACAAACAAACAATAATGTTTTATTCAATGGGAGATTACTCAGACAATTTTTGTGCAGATGGAATAAGATCAAACCTTTTTCCAACTCTTAAATTCTTTACACAGACAGGATTGATGCTATATAATTGGGTAGTAAGAAACAGAATGACTTTGATAAAATTTTAGGATGACAGTTATACTGAACTGTAAAAATATATAATTTATGTCAATTTTTATTCCTTTTAGGTTATTTCTGAGACATGTTTCATGGTATTGGGAGTAAGACTCGGTGGCCTTATACAGCAAAGATATAAGTAGATTTATAATTTCTTTATTTGAAACAAATATTTTCATAATAAATAAAAAAAATATCAGGAAAATAATGTGCCTTGAGGATTGAAAAAAATGTATAATCAACATCGTTATAGGTTACAACAAACCATTAAATATTATGGGTGCAGCCAGTTTAAAAGATAACATGATATTCAGAATTAAAAGTATGACTAATCTTGATTGATTCATTTGTGCAACCATTATTTTTTATTACTAGACACTTCAAGCACTCTGCATTAAACCAAAGGCAAAATAATGTATTTCCCTCAGTGCTAAAGGGACTGAAGTGTTTTCTACGTTGTGAGGAGACATATTTTTAAGTGCAGAATTGATAGGCAAGGAAGATTTTTGGACTAAATAATACTGTCCTTATAATTTTTCTTTAATTCTAGCCAGGTTTCAATCTAAAAATTAACTTTCTATAGTTTGTATCTTGAAAAGGCAACTATTGTCGCCTATGGGGAAATTAATTGACTACATATTAAAAACCAAATTGATTACATGAAAGTCTTGAACTTTTGAGTTCTTGGGTAGCTGTCAAATTGATGTTCTTGAACATCCTTTTACTTCTTTAGTCATGTATAACCTATTTCTATATATATATTTAATTTTCCAACAGTAATTCTAATCTAAACATTTGTTTTAATCATTAGGTTTTCCAGGTTAGCATTCAGTTTGTCCGTAAGGATTGAGACTGGAAATGGCAATTGGAGCAGACTTTTAAGGTAAAATTTAAACACTACTCATTCTTGCTTAAAAATTTGTGTAGTTTAAAAGTTTAAAATTTACCACTAATGCATTTCTATGAAAAATTATAATTGTAATTCCTACTTCATTATTATTTTTGAGTAAATATTTTTTCAGTTCTTTTATATTTTATGACAAATTTATTAAAAAGTGTCTTATTTCTTTTTCAGGATGCCATTACTGTGGCTGCATGAAATAATTGTGTGATCTTTTCTGTAAAAAGAAAAAAAAGCTATTGAAAAATGTTAAATATGTTTTAAGAAAACAAATTGTAAAGATTCTCCATTTTCTACAAGAATGGAAGTATGAATTTCTGGTGATCTTAAAATTTAAATTTAGGAAAATTTCTTTTTATCTGTTGCATAAAATGGCTAGATCTTTTTATACTTACAAACCTCAGAGGGAATATTAACACTTCTAATGGTTTAGAATGGAGGATCTAAAAAAAAAGAAAAAAAAAAAAAAACTTTTGTAAAATATTTTAATTTATTTTACAAGAAGCATAGTTAAAGAACATCTAGGGTGAAAATGAAAGAGTACTAAATTTTATATTGAAATTTGTTGATTTAAAAAAAAAAATCATATTCTTGATAGTTAAAAGTGCAGGCATCTGATATTTTTGAAGAACTGTATTTTGTAAAAATAAATGGAAAACAAATACATTGACAAGTGATAAAATAAACTGTTTTAAACAAAAATAACATGAGACTTTTATGAACTAGTGTCTAAAAGTTTTGACAAAACTCATAGAATAGGGGGACATTCATTCACTTACATTGATACAATGATGGCAGCCAGGATAGCAGCTATTGGGAAGACGGTCAATTAAATCTTCAACCAATTCTGAGGCTTTACCAGGAAATATTTGTGGTAAGTTTAAATACTACACAAACTTGATAGTAAAGGCATTAAAACAATTATTTTCTTGAGGATTCTTTTTCTATTATTGACATTGATTTTATCTTTACATAACATAAATTTGTTTTCAAAATTGAAACCATAATCATTTGTTATTAGTTTATCCATCTAAATTTGGTATCCAGTTTACAGATTGAAAGTTGATAATACAAAATTTTGATAGAAATAAAGCATAATGATTGGCCAGTTTTTCATTGGTTAATGTAAGCGTGACATTCTGCATAACAGCACATGGCTCAGCAGGATAACAATTATTTTAATGTCCTTGGGTGCAGAAAAATAAACAACAAATACTGTCCATCGACAATTTGATTCTAAATTTAAAAGACATTAAAAAACATGGAATTCAGCATAACTCGAATAACACATAGCTGTGATGCTGATAAAGCAGATTGTCAACACTTGAAAAAAACATTGTCAACTTTGGATTTGCATTGGTTGAAAATGTTATACTCTCATGGCTATGTGTTATTTATATACTGTATTGTTAAAGAAATCTAACATGCTTGGATTGATCTGTAAAAGGAATATTTCAAACAATCCTTTTTTTTTATTATTTGATCATAGGTTGATGTAATGTATTCATGGTGTTGGAAGTAAAACTTGGGAGATCTGATACTGCTAACATTTTGGTAGGTATGAGTATATTTGATTTTATGGTTTTGCCAAAGTCTGCTTACAAGTCTATAGAAAATTTGTAATTCGAATAAAACTTTAATTGATGTTATGGTTAAAAAATGTCTCTTAATCTTTATTTCATCTTTATATTTTCTGCTGTAACCGTAATTGTGTTTACAGCCCTTTTCAACTACTTTCTCTTATTCACTCTGTTAACAGTGATGTACTGAATGAGAGAATGGTTTTATGATAATATAGTATTGTATTCACTGAAGTAGGGGAGGTAATCTACCATTTATTTGTCATGAAAAGGCTGTCACAAAGATAAGATGTTTAATAGCTTTGCTTGAATGATTCAGTTTTGTATTTTTTCATTACAAATTCTCAAAGAATTCATTTCTTTTGTTTATATATTGAGAAAATATTTTGAGTAAATGTCAATGATAATGAACTAAACAATGCAAGTTTATCAAAGAGAGGCGAAAGATACCAAAGAGATATTCAAACTCATAAGGCAAAAACGAAATAGCCACAGTGGTATTCCAGTATGTCAATTTCAAAAATAAATTACAGCTTAATAGCTTCTGGGTGTATCTGACACTATGTGTGATAGATACGATAGCAGTCATAGTGATTTTAACATCTTAAAAATCAAAATTGGTATATAAAGATGGCTTTCCATTTTATCATAAATTTAGCTGCATGATGTCTATTGCAATATTTTTCGTAGTAGTCAATAAATTTGAATAGAAAACAAGTTTTTTTTAATACAACAATATCTGTCTATTTAAATAAAAAAAAATGCCACTTGAATATTTTAATCCCTAAAACTTGACTTTAACATTACCTTATTCATATATTTTAACATTTACTTAATTATTATGAATTGTCAACGAATGAAATATTATTTAAATTCTTTTACAGGTAAAAGTGTAACTGCTGCTGCTTTAGTGTGTGGTCAGTCCTGTGGACAATAATTATGGGTCAATCCTGTGGACGATAATAATCATGCAAACCATATGATAAACTTTTGTTGTTTTGTTTTTACTATAATCCTTAAATGATAGTTCTGTAAGCCAAAAGATTAATATATTTTAAATGCTGTTATTTTATTTTCCAGTTATTTCTGTAAATTCAATTTAATTTCCAATTTCTGTAAATTCACAAGTTTTTGCAAAATTTCATTTCTGTGAAAATTGCCAGAGAATAGGTTCTGCAATAATAAAAAGTTTATAACTTACATTTTAAATTTTGATAGCATTGGCTATAATTAAATTTAACATTTGTTATCCAATGTTTAACCATCTCAAATAAAAAATGCTTGTAAAAAATTCTGAATTGCAGAATAGATATGTTTTTATTATTTTTTCTAATGCATTCTGGGTAACATTTTCAAAAGCAGACCCCAAAATGTTCGTCGTGTATCTTTATATGAATTTTCTGAAAGTTGAATTTTGAGGATTGAACTCTTACTTTTTGTTTAGATTTTTGAATGCCAACCAATAAGATATGCCAGTTTCCTCCACCAATAAAATCTGGTCACCATAATGTAGCGGAGGTTGCTGAAAGTGGTGTTAAACACCAACAAAGTTACAAACTGAAATTTTAAGTGTCCAAATTGAAATGAATTGAAATGAATGAACTTGTGAAACAAGAAAGCAAAATTAAGCAGCTTCTATCATAATTTTATAATGTGAATGATAAGATGGTTTGAATATTTTTTATTTTGTTTCACTGCTTTTTGTTGTCAGATGCCAGCATTGAAGATTCAAATTGAGATGAAAATTCAGAACCTGCTGCAATTGTATCTATGACAATATCTTCGAAACCATCCTATCCTTCAGTATGAGTAATAAGATACTACAAATATTAAATCCATTCTTAAACTGGAGAACTTTAGAAAGAAAATAATAAAATAGTGCACGTCAGCAGATACTGAGGAATATAATGAAAGTGTTGAGAAAAGGCCAATACTCTTTTTACTGTAAATTCAGAAATTAATCTGCATTTATTATTGTGAATCCTTGACCTCTGGCAAAAGCGTGAGCAAAAGCGTGAAATTTAATTACTACGATTGCAAAGATTTTATGAAGGAAAATTACTACTAAAATTATGAATGCGACTGTTTATTATTACTGTCGCATTTTTCGCATTAATAAAAACATCACAATAATTTCTGATTTTACAGTAATTATTATTGGAGTAATAGATTATGAGCCAACAGATAATATTGCTCTATTTCATACATTTCGTAATGAAGAAATTTTACTTTAAAGTTATCTCCCTTCCTTAGAAAAAATTTAGTACTCGTTCACTGCAATGCAGAGTGCTCAATTATTACAATTAGATATGTAAATTGAACTACTACAATGTACCCAATCAAATTTAGTAAGAAAAGGATAGAAGTGCAAAAAGATTAAGAATCTTTGCAAAATAACAAAACTTGGGGTTTAGATAGAAGAAATAAAAGGCAATTATATTTTTCTAGGTGATAAGTTTTTTGCACATATTTAGAAGTGAAGTTTATTTAAATCACTCTAGGAAATCAGTCAAAAACACCTCAAATAAACAAATTCAGTATGTTTTTACCTTTTTATTGTAGCTTGTACAATATTTTTGTTTGTTTAAGATTTCTTTTATATTGTTTGAAATGCTGTTTTTAAAAGAACAAGACAAACTCTGGATTCATGTTTTTTGTTGTTGAATTCTATAAATTCTTATACATTTAGTATTAAGTTATTATATATATATATATTAATTATTTCTTTAATATTTATAATAATTTTGCTTTTGAAGCAAATTGTCTTGTTTCATATAGGTATTATTTAATATGATGCATTATAATGGTATTTGATGAATACATTGATTGGTAAATAAAATTTATTTTAGAAAATTCGTCTTATTTGACTCTCGATGACAATTGAAGGGGGAAGAGGTTTCTTTTGTAAGGGATATGCAACTGTTCTGCCCATGATATTCATATAGCTTACTCAGGTGAACAGGGAATTTTGAAATAAAATTGAGAATGGAAATGGGGAATATGTCAAAGAGACAACCCGACTAAAGAGCAGACAACAACCCGACTAAAGAGCAGACAACAACCCGACTAAAGAGCAGACAACAACCGAAGGCCACCAATGGGTCTTCAACGCAGCGAGGAAAATCCCGCACCCGGGGGTGGTCCTCAGCTGGCCCCTAAATAAAATTGTGTACTAGTTCAGTGAAAATAAACGTCACACTAAACTCCAAAACATATAAATGAACTAAAATTAAAAAAAATACAAGACTAACAAAGGCCAGAGGCTCCTGACTTGGGACAGGCGCAAAAATGCAGCGGGGTTAAACATGTTTTGTGAGATCTCAACCCTTCCCCTATACCTCTAGCCAATGTAGAATAAAGAAACACACAGCAATACGCACAGTCAAACTCAGTTTAAAAGAAGTCCCAAATACCTTCTTGTTTCTAGAAATTAAAGCATCACAATCCATAACACAATCTATATGAAAGTTATTTTAGATTTCAAGCAATAAAGCATTAAAGTACCATCATGCCAATGACCTTAGGGAGAACATTTGATATGTGACGGGTGATTTTTATTTCCATCACATTGTGTCTATCCTCATCATTCTTCAATTTTGTAGAAATTTTCTCAACCTCAGCAAATAGCATTGAGGCAACATGGGATTATTGCCATGTCTGTCTGTGTAGGTTGTGACTGGTTTAGAACTAAGAATGCCTAGAAGGAAATTAATTAACTTGGTATAATTGTTGCCCATCACCTCAGGTGTGTGTTGTTAGTAAGTTATCTGCAAGGTCAAGGTCGCAATAGTTTTTGTCTTGCCTTGACGGAGTCAAAAAGCGAGACATAGGTATGCTGTTTCCGGCGGCGGCATCAACAATCTATTAGTTTGTGATTAGGTCTAGATCATGGTGAACCACTAGTGGTATGTCAATGATATTTGGTATGCAGTTGTATTAGCATTGGCACATCTCATTACCATGGAGATTATTTGGCCCCGCTCCCTCAGTCAAGGTCTATTGACTTTGAATTTTTTCATAGTTAACATGTATTAGTTTGTGATTAGGTCAATTTATGGGGAACCATTAGTGGTAGGTCAATGATATTTGGTATGCAGTTGTATAAGCATGGGCATATCTCATTTCCATGGAGATTATTTGGTTCCGCCCCCTTAGTCATGGTCTATAGACTTTGAAAATTTTGCTAAGTTAACATGTATTAGTTTGTGATTAGGTCAGTTCAAGGGGAACCATTAGTGGTAGGCCAATGTTAATTGGTGTTCAGTTGTATAAGCATTAGCACATCTCATTTCCATGGAGAATATTTGGCCCCGCCCCCTCAGTCATGGTCTATTTACTTTGAAACTTTTGCTTAGTTTACATGCATTAGTTTACATGTATTAGTTTGTGATTAGATCAGTTTAAGATGAACTGCTAATGTTAAGTGAATGATATTTGGTATGTAAATTTATTGGCATTTGCAAGTATCTTTTCCATGGAGATTATATAGCGCCACCCCTGATCATGGTTCATTGACTTTGAAACTTTTACATAGTTTACAAGTTAATGTTTGTGTTTAGGTTTGTTTAAAGGGAACAACTTATAATAAGTCAATGGTATTTGGTATGCAGTTGTATTAGCATTGGCACATCTCATTCCATGGAGATTGTTTAGCCATGTACCTTCAGTCATGGTTCATGGACTTTGAATATTTGCATTACTTACATGTTAAAGTATTGCTATTTTAATTTCAACATTTGCATTATCAAAATTACAAAAAGGCGAGACATATCTCTGTGATAAGTTTATTGACTATTGAAGTCCCACTCAGAACTTTTGAAATCTTTGCAGGATATGAGGAGATAATTTTGGGACCTTTACTTGGTATGATTCATGCCTACCATGCCAGAGGGAGTGCATAAAATAAAATTTGGAATGGTTATTTGCAAGGTCAAGGTCACAACCATAATTTCAAATACCGGTAAAGTTGTCTTACAGTCACAATGTTTGACGGCTTTGAAGGATATTAATGATATAATGCTTGCCCACCACCAAAGGGTGAATAAGTTGGAATGTTTTGTCTACAACTTAAAGGTCAATAGGTTTTATATTATTTAAGATAAATACAAGGGATATGAGATATCTTTTTGTGAACTTCGCAGTAGTCTGACACAGGGATAAAATCATTATTCAACATTTTATCCTACATTCTGTTGATACCTATGTTTTGGCATTGCACAATATCATTTTTTTCTCTCGACTTTTAATGTCCTCTTTACACTAAATCCATTGGATGTAGGATGTGTACTTATTGATATTTGAGTCTTATATACATGATAGATAAAAAATAGGTGGGAGAGAAAAAAAGATTCTAAAAGTGGGAGGTGGGAAATAGGGGGCGGGAGGTGGGAGAAGGGTACCCCCTGTCCACCCCCTCAGAGAAAACCTGACAGGGGCAGAAATGTTCAGAATGTTCAAATCTGCATACTGTCACATCAACACTGTCAGACGACTTCTTATTGAAGTAATTGCCCTTTAATGACGATTTTTACTAATTATTTGCATTTTTGCCTACTATTTTGAAAATTATAATAGATAGATACAAATTTTAGATAGCACATATGATCAGCAAGACAAGATCTACACATACGTTAACATGGCTGAAATTGTCAGTTAACTCTTTATTGGAGTTATTGCCCTTTAATGACAATTTTTACCAATATTTTTTATGTTATTGCCTATTGATTTGAAACTTAGTAATAGAGAGAAACTTTAAATAGCAAAAATGATCCACAAGGCAATATCTACAAATAAGTTGATGTTCAACACTTTATAGGAGTTAGTGCCCTTAAATGACATTTTTGCCTATTATAGAGAAAAAAAGATAGATAGACATTTTTAAAGCAAATCAAGCTCTGCAAATAGGTCACTTGGCTTAAAATCTTCTAGGAGTTATCCATACATTTCCCTTTTAGGGAAAAAACTATAGAAGATAGAAATACTGTGAAAACAAAAAAAATATCAGCAAAACAAGTTCAACAAAAAAGAGATTTCAGTCATTAATTATGTTCTTGTCTACAATGTTGGAGAGTGTACATTGTTGGAGATGAACATAGGCCTAGGTGAGGGATGCAAGCCTTTAGTTGTTAGTTGTTTTTGTTCTTTGTATCGATCTGATGAATTAGGCCCTTTTCAACTGTTTTTTAGTCTGTTGTTGTGCGGTTAAACCACTGTACTAGGTTAGGCGAGGGTTCAGCGCCCGCAAACATGTTTAACCCCACCACATTCTGTATGTGCCTGTCCCAAGTCAGAAGCCTGTAGTTCAGTGATTGACGTTTGTTGCTGTATATCATATTAGTTTTTCGTTTATTGTTTTGTTCAATCCATAAAGGCCATTAGTTTTCTCGTTTGAATTGTTTTATATTTTTCATTTCAGGGCCTTTTTTAGGTGTCATACCACCAAATCATAGTACGTCTCATCCGGTTGCATACGAAAATAGGTCGAATACAAATATTCCCTTGAATTTAACAGTTGTAGGTAAATAATCCTACATTTCATTGCAGTAAAACATTTCTGGGTCATAAACATATATCTTGGGTATTTAAAAGCACCATTATATTTTTATTTGGGGTTTCTATAGAATATTTTGGAAACTTGAGGTTACATGGTTACTAAAGCTTGTACACAGGTTAATAAAAGGGGGAAATTTGATTGGTTAACTTCCAGTGATGGTTATTTTCTTATATGCAATGAAATGTTATGTGAAATTTTTTCTATAGTACTGGACAGGATAAAACTTTACTCATGCCAAGTATTTCTTTATTTGAAACAAAGATAAATTCTGCACAATTTTTTGAAAAGTGCAAATTTAACAAAGACTAATAGGGGAAACTCAATGGTGGTATTACACCTATAGCTTGCTATCTGGTATTGATTTTGCTAATTGTTGAAGGCTGTATCGACAGGTGACTTATAGTTGCGAACTTCTACATCATTTGTTCTCTGGTGGAGAGTTGTCTCATTGGCAATCATTACACATCTTCTTATTTGTATATTTATATTTTGCAAGTGTGGACACAGATCAGTGTGGATAGTAATAGTTTGGTTTGATTCATGGTACTTTGTGACTTTCATACTGAAGTTTGCAAGATATGCTTTATACAAATAGTAATATTAAGGAGGTATTACTATATTTGTTCTCTTTTTTAGTAGAACTTAAAAATTTGTGGGCTTATCTACAATGTTTGTTTAGTATGGTGTTCACCACCCTAGTAGCATTTGTGCATGCTTTGGTTTGAATGTCTTTCTCATTGGGTCTACTGAAGAAGATGGAGTCAAATTGATGACAATACTTCACACAATAGTCCACTCTAGTGTCATTTTAGTGCCATCTTTGAGCATGTTTTGTGCCTAGACCCACAAGGCTTTTTGTTTATTTCTAGAAGTCAAATAAGATAAATTGTGTAATGTAAAACAAATTTTATATATTTTTACTTAATTTGAAATGGAAAAGGTAGTGCAGAATTTCATAGTTCAAGTTAAAAGAATTACAACACTAATCTAATTTTATGTGAAAAATCAACACTTGCTCTCCTTTTTCATTTACACTTTCATTCCAGACGTTTGTTATGTATTTATGTTTTATAAATAAC